GCGCCCAGTGCCGGGGGCGGCCGGGGCCCTGGAGGAGCTGGGGTGCGTGTGCGTGCATGTATAGGTACATATATACCCGTATATATGTATATGTGTGTATATACGCATATATATGTGTGCGCGTGTTTGTGTTTACACGTGCGTGCGCAGGCGGGCACGCAGTTCTACCTCATGTTTCTTCCGTCGTTTCCTAAACTAGTTGAAAACTACGCTTTGTGGCGCCCTTACTCCGACCTGCCAGCTGCGAGCTTCCCGGTGTTGACAATAACCGGTTGTTGGTCTAAAACCTGGTAAGCGCGTGGCGAAATGCGACCAGCAGCGTCGGGCAGTTTTCCCTGGCTCAGTCGGTTTCTCAGCGCAAGGCCTGTTTAATCGCAGGGGAGCGTGGCGATGGCTCGGGTTCGGGCATCCGCCACGTTCGCTTCGCCTGGGGCCAGCGAGCAAGGGCGTTCGACGAGCACGGCTTAAAACGGGTGTTTCAGTCCTGCACCGCCACGCTGTCGCACCTGGTTTCTGCCCGGCTCTGACAGCGTCGCGTACGCCAGCCCGGTGATGCCCCCAGCCGGCCTGCAGCTGCTCTGGAGCCGCCGCGGTGAAAGCAGCCTGCGGGCTTCCTCCCGCTAGACGCTTCGGCGCGTGGCCGGAGCGCGCGGATCAGGTCTCTCTCGCCTGGCGTTTTACTTTTCAGGGAACGACAACGGGTGTTAGCGGCAGGAGGAAAGTCGGTGGCGGTTAGATGAGGTGAGGAGGTGATGGTGCTGTCAGTTAATGAGGCACGTCCTATTTTAGACCCACAACTGCAACGCTGCCCGTGGTGTTTTGAGTTTCTGTTTTGATTTTGATAACGTGGATTTTGTTAGACCTTCAGCCAGCCTTTTGCTATTAGATGTGCTTTACTTCTGGCACATCGTGCTGCTTTTGCTGTAGATACGCACAGTTAAACGGAATTTGCATGACTGCGCCTTGAACACAGACGCGCAAAAATAACCTGTCAGGATTTATAGGCGGATGACAATAACAACAAATGTATCACTCTATTGCTGGGTGTTGTCTCTAGCTGCCAGTATCCGCAAATTCCTTTAAGCAGTCCTTTCGTACAAGCCTACCGTGCAGATTTTTGTTTGAAGGAAAGATTCTTTCCACAGTCTTTTCAAATGGCACGAACGTGTGCCAGGTTGGTCGTAGAATACGCCTTGTAAAATTACTCTGCAGTTTACTGCGGTTGTGAATGTTTTGTCACGCTTCTTCAGGAATTACTGAAGACCTGGTATTCTGTAGTTTTGTTTCCCTGAGATTCACAGATACATAGCTAGTGTCTCACGGGTTTTGCTGGTAACATCAATCGTAGTAGATCAAGGACAAGTTGTTCTACTTTAGATGTGTCATCAAAACAAACTGGGGCAGTTTGTACGAAGGGAGTGATTTGAATGAATTTGTTGCCTCTCAGCAGCCAGACTTTGACTTTCAAAGAGCTCAAACCTTTTTTTTTTTCTGTAGACATTTACATTTCTGGTTGTTTTACCACCCTTGATTAGCTTGCTCCTGCAGCAACCTTCCAAAGTAGATGGAAAGTTATACATCAACATTGTCTTCCTGTCTTAAAGGGACCTGCCCAGGCTCAGCCCTGTAGGCAATGGTGTAACACATTAGAAAATGAGTTTTTAGCATTCAGTCTGTCAGCTTAATGTGTAGGTTTCAGTATACTGGCTTGCATGGCATACTACAACCACAGTTGCCTTTTATTGTTTGCTGTTACTTTACTTTCTCCTTCTGTTTTCGGACTTTACAGAATAGGTATTTCTCCCAAGTTCATCTTTTGCTGATATTGCCCTTCATTTTCTTTGATGACACTTTGAACCACTTTTTTTTTCTTGTTTTTGTCCCGTGGCTATCCTGCCAAGAGACTGTGAGTTCATTGTTTATCCTCCAGCTGTTTCAGTTCCCACTCCCTCAAGTCTTCTGTAAGGATGGGACTGCTTAGTCGTTGTTTGTATCACTTGACTGCATAGGCTGTTAGCTGTCTCATCTAACTGCCTTTTCACTGTATGAAGTTCTTTGCTTGCAGGCCAACACCATTACTTCTAAGCCACAGCTCTTTTGTGTTATTTATGTATTTTGCTGCTGAAGGGGTGTCGGTGAATATGTTAGACCATGAACAACACATCCATCCAGATGTTTTTTCCCTCTTAGTGTGTTAATATCTTTTAAGATGTATTTAAAGTGGGATAGAGAGCATAAGCAAAAGTTGTACGTGTGTATTACGAGGCTGGATATTGGCAAGGATCCCTGCCTTTTTCCATAAGATGCTAGCAAAACCTTTGCTGTAAGATACTAGCAAAAATAGTTGACACCAAAATACTACTCCTTTTATTCACTCAATTCTTGTATTTACTTCAGTCATAAAGCCGGTTACGAGGCCTTTCGTTCTGATTTGTAGACGCACTGGGTTTTTGTCATCGTTAAAAGTTTCTGCGGCAAGCATGTTTCAGTAGCAAAGCTGAGAAGGATTGTGTAGGATGCAGACGTGAAAATTGACAGACCATGTTTAGCATGGGCAGATGGATTAACACGATTAATGAAAGTGAGAAATGCTGTGGGGTTTTTACTGGCACTTGGGAAGTTGCACCTAGTAGTCAGAAGGCTCTGTGTCACTCCTTGTGCAAAAAGTACATCCATACATCACCCTTCTAGGACTGTAATATAATGTCAGGATTGGCATATGAGCCCTAGCGATGGTGTAGGATGTGTGTGATGTGCCTTCAGGCAAGGAAATCTTGGAGATGACACTTCCAGAATTTCGAATGACATTTTCCAGGGGAAGAAGTGTTGCTGCCACTACCAGTCAGTAGTTCTGGTCCTTTTACTGCTCTAGCAGGCAGCGAGGGCTTGTTTGCTGTGAAGGTTTTGGTGGCTGTCAGAGCGCTGAGCGCCCTGGCCTGCTGATTGATGGCGCTGCCCAGTTGCTAGCCGTGATGGATGCGGTGCCTGCTCTGATTGGATGACATTTGATCTAGTAGAGAGCCGGCCAAAATGCCACAGGTAATGCTCTGAACAGCCGTCCAAAACATATCCACTTATAGCCTACATCAAAACATGTAGCGATTCTGCAATACTCGGAGATGATTTGGCATTACTGACTTGTACAGATCTCTTCCTTTTGTACTTTCACAGACAGAAGAAAGTTCATAAAGCTTGGTCACAAGCATGCTGCAGAGCATGTTGGCCTTTTGACTGAATGTACACATCTTTTCTATTCAACAGCCCCTTGCTTGGGTGGTAGTCTGCTGTTGGCAGCTGTACAATTCTTTTAAGTTATAGGGAAGCCCTGTGCTAATTTTTGGAAAGCTATGTTCATGCTCTCTATGCTGTCCCTGCATTTTTAGTGTGATGCTTTTTTTTTTTTTTTTTGCATTAGCAACAAAGAAATGTAGCATTTTAGTTGAAAAGTTTGACTACAAATGGTTGGAATTTAGGGTACCTCAGATGAGTTGAGAAACAGGGAGGTAAATGTGTTTGCCCCAGCTCCTTTGAATTCAGATGCTTACTGATGAAATAACTTACAGTACTGATTTCACAGTTAATGACTGATCATACTATGTTACCCATAGCCAAAATAGTACATAGGGATTATCTGTAGACTCATTTGGATATATTTCATAGGATAAGAATGTTTAGATAACTTGGTGATTATTACGTCGTTTTTATCTTACTGTTTGCTTTCTAGGAATGCAGATGTAATCCTCTTAGTTATTCATGATTTGGGGAAAGTGTTGTGCCAACTGTTGTACAGACAAAGAAAAAAAACATGGCGCTTACCTGAGAGAGCTGGCGCCCTGGTTATAAGATGAGGGAAAAAGTGGATCTTGACAGATGAAGTGGAAGCAGTGAAAGAGTAATAGTATGACAAATTATTCCTCTAACGTACTGATGGTCTGGTTTGGGTTTCTTGTAAACAACATAGCATTTTTTCCCATGCTGTACCTTAACTAAGAGTGCATATTTCAAAATTTAGCAGGTGAGCTATGAAGACCTTGTAGGAGGAGGGATTCAACCTGTAAGTAATGAGTGCAAGATGATGCAGTGGGAATAGACCTTGAGGAATCTAGACAGTGAAGACAGCTTCCCCACCTCTGCTGCGTACAGATGCTGTGAGAGGAATGACCCGTTTTTATTTTTCTCCCTAAAGAAAAGTGAGTTGTAGTTTACACTATGCTTATACCTTTTATCGGTCCTAGCTCTATTGATTTTTAGTAAACTAAAACACTTAAAAAAAACAGTGAATGTATTTTAAGAACTACATCTAACTCTTTTTTCGTTTCTAACTAGATACTTTATGGAGAGGCTGCTTTACTGTGTTCAGTATAGACTATTTTAGGCATACATTGCATTTAAAATAGTCAAGATATACCTTAGATTTAACTTAAAAAATTTAACACTAGTACCATATGTTGATTTTTGGCACTTTGTGTCACATGCAGAGCTTTTAAAAATAGGTGGGCAGGTTGCTCTGCTTCTGAAGTGTTTTGATTTTTCTAGAAAGGTGGAAATGAGCAATTGTAGTAAGGAGCTTTTAATCTTAATTGGCTTTTTGCAGGCAGATTGCTATTAGGATTCTTTGTAAGTGTCAAAAGTAAACTCTGCACCAAGAGTAGCAAGTGATGATTATTACACTTCAGACTCTTGTATGCTAAGTTCACAAATCTGAACCAGCTGGGCAAGAACTAGTTTCTAGTTTTGCGTAAGTGACTGTTTAAAAGGATGTGATTCAACTCTTTCTACTTTTACTTTTTTTTCTAAGAAACTGAGCAATTTTCACTTCACATTTTTACTGTATGCTAAATAGAGATCAGGATGAGGGAACATACTGTCTAAACTCCGCTTTTTCTACTGCAAAGATCTTTTTTACTGTTATTTTCAGATTCATTAGTGAAATATCATGTGCACTGTGACTTTATTTTGTGGATAGGAAATTAAAAGCTTACCATATTTGTTTTTCCATTACAAAGAGCAACTTCTGAGCAAGAGTTGGTAGAGATTTTTTTCTGCTTGTTCTTTCAGAGAATATCATCCTAAAATGGCTCTTCTAGGACACCCCATAGTTGATGGCCATAGTTACGAATTAAAGTCATTGAACATATTCACAAAAGAGGAGTAGGTTAGGAAGAAGCAAACCATGGGAAAATTGTCAAGGCTTTTAATCTCCAGAGGATCAAGGTTATCTTTGTGCCAGTTGATCATTTCTCCTCTGCCCTCTTGTCCTGAATGGATTGTGTCTAAGGTCAGCAGACACCTAGAGGATTGTTTTCTTAACTGTATTTCATGCTTTTTTGGCCCTGCATTTCTTCAGGCTTTTCATTCCCGTAAAATCTGTCTGTTATTTCACATAAATGTTTCTTAGAATTAATTTCTGAACTACTTTACATTTCTTCCTCCTTTATCTCAATTAAATGCAATAACCATATTCCTAGCATAAGCATTTTGGTATCTGAAATGCTGATCCCATTTTTAATTGTTAAATCTTTTACTTGTAATCTTTTACCTTTCTGCCCTCAAGCATGCTGGAAAAGGGCAAATAGTGCCTACCCACTGGCCTTCTTGCATGCTTGCTAAGCATCTCTCTTGCTCTTACCCTTCTGTATGCTTTTCAGAAATCAAGCGCCAACTCTGGCTAGGTCCTTGATATTATGTGGCTTTTCAAAGAGCTCACAGATCTGTAGGCCTTGTATGATGCATGCTTCTCTACATGTGTGTTAATGAGAACTGATTAATCTAATGGTACATGTTATCCTTTGTTCTACTCACTCTTACTAAAAGAAGACTGAAAAGTCTCTGCTTTGGTCAGTGGATTCCCAAATCTGCAGTGTGAACACTTGGTTACGAGGTCAGTGTTCACTTCTAACACCTTGTTGATTATTTGGGGACAGAAATGCCACGTTTCCAGTCATTCCAGATGCTAGTTGAAACTATGCCTAAAGGACTATGCAGCGTGGATTCCAGTGGTGGGCTACTGATGCCCTGGTCGAAGTAATTTTAAGTTGCCTATTGGCCTCATGATTTCAGGGGTGGAAAAGACTCTTGCTTGCGTTCTAGCTAGTCTGGTGGACAATTGTTCTTTCCTAAAGTTGTCTGAGATCCTGAAGTGTATTAATATGACCAGAGTTCACCCAAATTCACCCAAATGAGAAAGTCGTGTGGTTTGGACAGTCTTACATAACCTGTCCAAACAGATACAACTGTTTATGGTGAAACGAATTTGTGTGATCATTTGTGTCCATGTTGAATAACCGAAACACAACTATATTCCTCTAGGGAGGTCATTTTTCTGTCTTTGCTATGGACTCTTTATGTCATTTAGTGAAATATCACTGTTTTTTAGTAGAGTCTATATCAGTCGTACTGTTTGATCAATGTCTTTGCCTTACACGGCGTTGGCAAGTATGCTCTAGTAGTTTACAGTATTAAATGCTGCTGACGGAGCTACAAACCAGGTACGTGTCAATGATATGCTTTTCAAGCTATGTTTGGTATACTGAGTGTTGTTCAGAACTTGTATTAAGCGTGGCTGTCCTGCTTGGAAAACATTTTGTGCTCAGTTAAGTTGCTGTGCAGTTAACTCGTGATGGGTAGTTTCGCAATAGCTTACATGTAAATTATAAGATGACAAGGCAGCAATAAGCACTTAAAAATGTTTGGATCTGAAGCACCTTCTCCTTTTCTAGAGATGCTGTGATGAACAGCTGCTGATACGCGTTAGAGATTTTAAATGTAGTTGAATCTAAATACTGAAGAGCTGGAATAGTCAGATCTTGGTGCATGAACGTGAATTTCACTGCAGGTTTGGCACTTGCTGCACCTGCCTCTTTCTATCAAACTGAAATTGCTCAAAAGCTTTTAGGGAATGCACACAGGTTAATGGTGACATAAGCCTTGTTTCTTTTTGAAAACATGTTAAGAAAGAGAAGCTTCTATTTTAATAAAGTTTTTCTGGTAAGGTATGGGTGGAACTGTGTGGTAGTTTACTTTAAAACAACAAAAGAAAATCCCAGTATCTCAGATATTTAGCACTGCTGACTGGAAGTCTGGGTTTAATATAGCAACAGATACAATGTGTAACTTCATGTAATATAATTGATCTCTCACTATACCTCACAGCTCACTGCTGACAAGTTCATACTCCTTAGTACAAAATAGGTGACATTAGTCAAAACCTAAAACTGTTTGTGAATTATGATTTTGATCATATTGATGATATTATTGATCTCGGGCTTTCAGAGTTTACTTCATCAAATTTAGAGAGTTTATTTAGACAATAAATAATTCCTATTTCTCTTTCCTAGTAAGTAACAGATGCGGGTGAAAGATCCATCAAGAGCTAACCCTGAGAAAACAAAGAGAAACAAAAGGCCTAATAGGCCACAGGATGAAGACTCTTCAGATGATATTGCAGGTAAATACATTAAATGATATTGAGCCCTGCCATTGACGGATAATATCTTCCATGTTGACTGGTGACAACCACAAGGCAGTGGTAGAGTGAAATGCTTTTCTTGTTTGAATTCGTAACGTAAGCGTCTTCAGTCAAACGTTTATGACATGATCAGTTGTTACACTACATGACTGCCCTGAAGGGCAAGGAGAGCTGGTTGATCTTCAGTGACAGCCTCACCAAAGCACAAGAAAGGCTCTTTCCGATGTGCAGAAAGTCAAGCAGGCATGGCAGAAGCCTGCTTCGCTGGTCAGGGAGCTTCTGATTGAGCTCAGATGCAAAGGGGAAGCATGCAGAACCTGGAAGCAGAGTTGGGATACCCTTGTTGGGGTCCTGAGTGTGCAGGGATAGGACTGGGTAAGCCAGCCTCAGCTGGAGTTGAATCTATTGAGGAACGTGAAGTGCAAGAAGAAGGGCTTGTGCAGATACTCTGGCAGCTAAGTGCAGACTAACAAAACTGTGAGCGCACTGCTTGAGGGGTGGGGGACTTAGTGGCAAGGGATGTAGAAAAGGCTGAGGAACTCAGTGCTTCACACATGCCTGTTTCTTCACATGTGAGATCTGCACTCAGTCCTCAAGTCCCTGAGCACAGTGGCAGACTTGGGATTTAAGCATTATCCAGATTAGAAGTTTGAGAGCACTTAAGCAAATTGGACATAATGCACATCTATGGGATCAGATGGGATGTGTCTGAGGGTGCTGAGAGAGCTGGCTGATGTCACTGTGAGGCCCCGCTCCAACATCTTCATGTCCTGGAAGGTAGGTCTGCCATTCAGAGTGACCCAGACGGGCTGGAAGAATGAGCTGACAGAAATTCCATGGAGTTCAGCAAAGGCAACTGGAGAATCCTGCCCCTGGGCCAAAATAACCACGTAAGGTAGAGGCTGGGAACCAATGGCTTGAAAGCAGCTTTGCAGAAAAGCTTCTGGGAGTCCCGCTGGCTTGCATGTGCTGTACACTGGACTGTATTAGCAGGAGTGTAGCCAACAGGTAGTGGGAAGTGATTCTTCATGTCTTTTTGACACTTGTGAGACCTCATCTGGAGTACTGTGCCTAGTGGCTCCCCAGTACAAGAAAGATATGGACGTACTAGAGTGAGTCCAGCAGTGAGCCAACCCACCAGATGGTTAAGGGGATGGAGCATATGGCACATGAAGAGAGGCTAACAGAAATGGGTTTGTTTAGCATAGAGAGGAGAGTAAAGTTACTTTTTTTGACTGCCTGGTGGGAGGTTATAGAGAAGGTAGAGCCAGATTCCTCTCGAAGGTCCACAATGAAAGGATTAGAGGCAGCAGACAAAAATTAGGACAACGGAAATTTGATCAGATGTGAAGTCATTTTTTTTCCCCACGAGGATGGTCAGACAGAAAACAGATTTTCTTATGAGATGGTGAAACCTTCATCCTTGGAGATACTCAAAACTCAGCTGAACGTAGCATTCAGCAACCTAATCTAAATTTGTAGCTGGCTCTGTTTTGAGTCGGGGTTTGGACCGGATGACCTCTGGACGTGCCTTCAGACCTAGATTATCCTGTGATATTTCATTGGAGTTAGTGCAAAAAATTAACAAAGAAGAATGCTGGTTGGTAGTCATGTTCAAAGTGGGCAGTTGCAGCAGGAGTGGATGGGTAAGTGATGTATTTGGAAATCCTTCTTTAAGGATAGGAAGGGATGTCAACTGCCTGTTGATAGATGCAAAAATAGATTTACGTAACATTTCACCGTTGACAAAAAAACAGGGAAGTGAATTTTATACAAAGTAGTCCTTAAGTTTGGCTGTTTTTAAGAGTTAGTGTTTATCAATTTGAAAATTATTTTCATTGTAGAAAGACCAATCTACATCCCTCATAAAATTCAATATATGGGGGAGCTGTGGGCCAATTTTTCCTATTTGAGTTCTTTGCTGTTTTTTTCCTAAAGCCGCACACGCTGAAGATTCAGCTCTTCTACTGTACGTGCACTGTCTTTCAAAACTATTATTTTTAATTCCTAAAAGTGGGTTTGTGCCATTTTCTCAAGGCTTAACCTGCCAGCATGTGAGCCAAGCAGTGGATGTGCATCATGTGAAGAGAGCGGTAGCTCAGAACGTGTGGTCAATATGTTCAGAATGTCTGAAGGAGAGACGGATGAGTGATGGTGAGCCCGTGGCACCTTCGGACATATGGCTGTGTCTCAAATGCGGCTCTCAGGTAAGCCTACGCTGTAAATTTACAGAAGTGAAAAGGCCTTGATCTGCTAGAGAACGTGACCAGTATGTTTGCATGGAATCTCATTACCTTCAGTGAGACACTGTGTGGGATGTGCTTGGTTGCGGTCTTGCTTTCCTGATGTCTGGTTTTCAGCAGGGTTTTGGCTTAGGTTTGTGCATTAAAGTGCAGTTTGGCCTTGCAAGTCGTAAGAGGTAGTCCCGCCATTTCTCTGTTCTTCAACTGCAAGCCCTTGCTGCTTGCGTAGAGTATAGCTCCAGGAACTGTACAGTTGCAAAATGCATCAGTATAGCTGGCTAATCTGGCAGAGAAAGTACTGTAAATACACACAAATAAATAAAGGAATGTGTGTATTGCTCAGTCAGCTTGCACTGTGGCTACTCTGTTGCTAGACTTGATGGAAAGCTAGAAGAAAGGCCTGTGCGGGAGTAAGAATGCTACTTTTTATGGCATCTAGTCTTTAGATTGTATCAGTTATATTGTCAAATCATGCCCTTGGAGTTTAAAATGGCAAGTTCTTAACCACAAGGGCTCCTGCAGATTCCTAGCCTAAGAGTGAAATGAAGACTGATACTGTACAGTTCCTGAAAAATGTAACTAGCAGGCAGTGACATGCTTGATTCAGCTAATTGCCCAAATAAAGCATGTCACAACTTTCTTAGACTTTCTGTAGGTACAGTTCCATAAGAAGAGCAGAAGCCAACTGATACCAGTATTATCTGAACAGATTTAACTTTGCAAAGAAACATGCTGTTGACCAGCTTCAGAAGATAGTTAACTCGATCTGAGGAGAGCTTGTAGAGTGTTTTGGTAAATCTGTAATTAAGGAGAGCTTTTAAAAGGAGATAAATCTCTATGACTTTTCATGTTTATGCTCTTGAGATAGCCTCCAAAAGTCCTGTGTCATTTATAGACCAGTCTTGAAGCCTGTTCACTTTGTCTTCTAAGTCTCACTCTATAGATACTTGAAAAATTGCAAATGCCTTTTCTCAGAGTTATTGTACATAAATGATGTATTCCAAGTGGCTTTTCAGTACAGAACTAATTCATGTGCTTTTTGATTTTCCTGTCTGGAGTACATGTAGCGTTCTCCAGGAGTGAAGGGTACCTGGGGTGTTCCTTTCCTTGATATTTAATCCATGGATCAAATAAGCCCATGTAGTTGTTTTGTTCACATTTTTAGGGAATTTTTATTTTTGTGAGTTGCACGATTTACTGTCTAATGACAATATTCACTCTTCATATTGAAGAAGTGGAAATTATTCCTATTAAGTAAAAACAAGCTTAATTTTTCCATACTTGTGACTGTTTTTTTTCAAGTAGAAAAGATGAGATTCTGCTTTTGTGTCGTAATAGGTTTTCCTTTATTGGTAAAAAGAAAACTTGTTGATTTTTGCAAAAATGTTGATATCTATAACACTGGATTATAAAGAATGTTAAGCCCTCTCGTTGCTTGAGAATGCTAAAGGCATTCCAGACAACTGTTATAGCTGTGGGTATTTAGGACACTCTAGCATTTTGTCTGATTTTTAACATAAAACGTTTTTAGTTTATTTGCTACAAAATTATTTTCCATTTTCCTACTTTCCAATTTTTTCTTACTGTGTTAATGTTTCCACTTCTAGGGATGTAGTAAGAACTCTGAAGGCCAGCATTCCCTAAAACACTTCCAAACAGCGCGCACAGAACCTCACTGCATTGTTATCAGTCTCAGCACATGGATCATATGGTAAGAATGGGTATGCAGATTTTTATATAAATTTTGTTATATATGCTTATATATCAGGACTAATTTTAACCTAAAACAGTGTCTTCCTGTGATAAGGAATAATTTTGACGGATAAAGTGAATACTTTCTGTAGGTCTGCGAAGAGGAAAGGGAGGCTTTCTGGAAGCAGAACAAGAAAAATAGTTTGTCCTTAGGACTCTCAGAGAAGACAAACCAAATAAAACGTGGTTTGTTTCCCCATCGTGAATGAAACCTATCGTATTCTCCTCGTCTCCTCCGTTGTCCAAACATGATTGATAATTGCTTAATAGGAAGAAACCTATATCACCTACCTTTCTCTATTATATCAGTTGCTTTGATATAGACAAAATATTCTGACTTGCAGACTGAGTTACGGTTTTTGCAGTGGCCACCATAGCGTATTGCCATGAAAGAAGGATAAACAGCCTCGGATAGCAGTTCATGGGTTCCTTGTGGTCTGTAAAAGAGTCATCTGGTTACGGGATTTTGACCTTCCTTCTTGCTTCTGAGTATTCCCAGGGCTATAAATTGAGATTATTTAGGTCTGTAAGCATTGGAGTGAATCAGGGCTGATCTGTAGAAAAGCATGTATGGGACGAAGAGTTCAATATTATTTCCCTTTTTAGTATGGAAAATTGAAACCTAGAGCTGAAGTAATTTCCGTAAGGTTATGTCAGAGGCTTATTAGGGCTGGGAGGTGAATTCGGCTTTCCCAAATTCCAGTGTATTTCTTCTTTTGTTTAGGTGTTATGAATGTGATGAAGAGCTGTCAACACATTGCAACAAAAAGGTTTTGGCTCAGATAGTTGATTTTCTTCAAAAACATGGTTCCAGGGCTGAACCAAGTAAGTCTGCACTTTTATCTGGAGACTTCTGTAATGTTCTATCTCTAAAAAAGCATGTCTCAGATTTTGAAACACATTAAACATTAACTTAAATTTAGTTAACTGTAGTTAATAATTAAGTTATTAGTTGTAAATTTAAGTTTGCGTAAGTGGATCTTGTAGCTCTATTGTTGGATGTAATGCTTTCTACTCATTGATTTCTCTGGGTTTTAATGGATAGAATGCTCGTTTCTTTTGATAGAAAACCATACTAAATTATTCTCTTACTTTAGGGTCCTGCTATATTTTCTTCACTGTATGTGTATAGTATGGAGACCGTTGTACACATGGCCCTCAGCTGTGTACTATTGATTACAGTGCTGATTTTATTCATCCCTACCATAATGCTATCTGCAGTGTTTCAGGCTTGTGACTTACAGAATACATCGGATTTCAGATTGTCCTCACCAAAAAAAAAAACCTTAAATAAATTTATAAAACGTCGGGATGTAATTTTTAGCAGAGACCGATAGTCTTGGTTAGTTAGAAGTAAGATTGGAATAGTATGCCTTACTGGGTTGGACCATGTATTCTTCTAGCTGTGTGTACATAAATCCTGGTAGTTTTAAGAGGTATTACATATTTTTTGAGGAAAAAAAACCTACTAGGGATCACTCAAATATTCATATTTTACATTTTCATTTAGTCACAGGTAGTATCTTACATTATTTAACTATAATAAAATAAGAAATCACTACTTTTTGTGTTTTTCTCACTTGGCCCAGTGAAAACACAATATGTGATTTCACTTTTATTCACACCTTCAGTTTCAGGTTTTCACGTGCTAATGAATTAGCTTGTTTGCAGAGGCAAATGCTATAGTTCTTGTTTCAGTTAATTTAATGGAAACAATTTCACACTGTTTTTGAACTGCTAAATAAGACTTTCAGGAGTGATATGAATCTGTATGTATTTTTTACGCTTTTAACTAGTGAAACTTCAAAACATCTGAAGTTTTCTGAATTTGGTGTTCAGAACTTTTATATGAAATGGCTTAAACCAGACAACTAAAATTTCAAACTAGCTGAGAAAAAATGAGCTTAAATTAGACCCAGTGTTCCTGAAAAATCATATGTTTGTAGTAAAATTTGCCAAAAAGTATTTGTTATAAGTGTGTTTAGATTTCATTTTGGTATTCTGTATTTGGTTTTGGTATTGTGACATAGGTCTTTTAAATAACTTCCAAATAGAAAAGAAAAGGGAAACAAAAATGTATTGTTTTTGTTGAGGGGAATTTTGTTTTCCAAATTTTTCTGTTTGATTTAAACCAGTTTCCCCTTCAGTTTCTTATCTCAGGCATTAAGATGAAAAAGTGGCTTTTGTCTGTAGTTACCTATTTTGTGATATAAGTATTGAGTATAACAATGCTTACTCTGAAGTCTTGAAAATTATCTAAATGTGGGCATTAAGAGTCAGACACATCCAATGGCGATAAGATTAGTTTTTATTGTAAATATGCTTTTTTCAGTGCATTACACAGGGAAATTTTAAACTGATAAGAGTCTGTTTTTCCAGAGTCTCGCACTGAATTTCCAAGAGTTTTTTTTTTAAGCCAACACCGCTTCAAAAAAAAGGTCCTGGCTGCTTGCTCCTGCTCTCTCGTTCGCAATCTCCTTGTGCTGGCCCAGGCATTGACTGGGTAGCGTGGGGAGCTGGTTTTGGGAACTGAGAGGGGTGGGATTTTGCTGGGTTGATTCCGATCTGGACCGGTTCCCTGATGTGATTCACCAAGGCATTATGACATTAATGCTTGTGCTGGGACTCGATGTGGAAAGGAGTCAGAGGGGTAGGAATGAGCTGCCAGGAGCGGTGGGTGGACAAGACCACTTCTTTTTTGCAGCAGTGCCAATTTGTGTCGGCTTAAAGGGCTTAGAGTACTCCAGTGTTGGTGTATCCATATGCCTGTTTTTGAGCATGTGAACAATCACATTGATTTCTGGCAGTTATTTGCTAAGGAGTCCGTACGTGAGCATTGCAAAGTGGGCACCTTAACAGCAAGAGGTCTTAACATAAGGGATTGCTCCTGAAAGGGAACCGTATTTCCGGCTCCATTCCAGCAAAGGGCTAAGGCTCACATTGAGCTTGTATTCCTGCAGAAAGCAGGAAATCTGTACATCCATCCATCCATCCATTAATGTTTTAAATTTAGAAGTCAGCAACCCTCTCTACATGCTAGAAATTTCGATTGTGCTAAGCAATTAGGATCAAATTCTTGAGAGCTCCGAGAATATTGGCACAAAGATAGTTTCCTGCGTTTTCATAAGTGGAAAGGAAAAGAGGAAAGCTTTTTGCCAGTGTAGTCTGTTGCACTGGTCCAAGCTACCTACTGGAAGAAGCTAGGAAACGTTGATGTATTGGTAAATAACCAAAATATCTAAGAGGAAATTTCCAAACAAAATTGACATTCTTTTATCAATGTGATTAATTTATCAGCACTGCTCTTTCTGTTTTTTGCCAAATACTGGAACAATGAGTTATTGCAGTAAAGAAGTGTAATTAAGATTTTTTGTTTTAAAGTTAAACTGCCTTTAAAGATTTTCTTTTCAATAAAATCTGAGATCTAAGTGTAATTCGTGCTGTTGTCCAGAAAACAAAGGAGACAAGGAGTAACAGTGAAAATTAACTCTACCCTTATTAACTTTTCTTTTTTTTTTTTAAAGGAGTAACAGTCTATTTCATGTTGTAGTGATATTTTCACTCTAACTGTCATTCTTTAATTTCTTAGTTGTTTTTACATTTTGTGTATTTACTAGAGGATCAACAATTTTTGTTGCAATAGTCAACAGTGAAAATAAACTACTCTGATTTGAAGTGGGGAATTGCAAATTATCAGTGGTCAGTTTTACAATACTTGTTCCTCACAGCTTATTTTCCATTTCTTTAAAATGATCTAGTGCTTTCCCCCCATTTACTTTTTCTTTCAGTTCAAAAAGCAGACAGAATGGAGACATTGTTCCTTAATTTTCGTATCAGAATATGGCACTGTAACAAAACTTCATCTCATATCTGGAAGAACTGGTTGGCATGGTGCTTCCTAAAATTCAAATAGTATTGTGTAGAAATTTTTGCACAAATGCAGTATGAGCATGGATATAAGTAACAGATGAGGGCTAGTAGGGGTTTTTTTTGGTTTTTGTTTTAAGTGAAGGAGTCATTTAAAGATAAAGTAAATTAGTTTAAACATGTGCAGGAGGTTTATATAGATTTCCTGGTTAATGCATCTTGGAAAATAAACAAAAGCAAAACGCTTGTCATTTGGTACTAATGTGGTGGAATAGTGTGGCAGCAGGATCCCTGCTTTTCACTCAGCCTCTCATAAAGATTCGACTTCACTTCAGCTGTAAAAATGTGCAAATTACATTACTACTACATGACTGACTTTTGTAATTACATTAAGCGATTGAGATAAATCCCAGTGCTGGGTTCCCAAAAGAATGCTTGCAGCTGTGTGATTTTCGCATCTGATCCTATGGTTTGTTGTACCCAGCAATGCCTGCCTTCCCCCCCCCCCTCTCTTTTTAAAGGAGTCTGTTTGGTTAAGAGGTCATGTTGGGCACAAGATGGAAGAATAAAGCAAGATTGCTTGCTAGGGTGTACCACCCAGAAAATTGTGTTGTGGAAAAGGTTAGCAGGCCATGATGATTTGCGCAGAAAGGCAGGTGCAGTATTGTCAGTGTGGCACACTTGTGAGCTTCACATGGTCATAATGCACATGTAGTACACAGGAACCATGCTGAGACATTGCTGTCTGGGTGTCTGCTCTTTTGCTGGAGAAAAGAAACTGTTCTGCAGTCTTAAAAATGAATATTATGCATATTTTCCTTTATAAAAGGGAAATTAGATATCTGTGAAGACATAAGCCTGAATTTCTTTGTAGACCAGTTGATTGAATTTGTTTGTGTGGCCATAGAGTGGAAAGGAAGAATATTGGTTCTCAAGTTTTGTAGTTAAATTTATTGCTGGGAAGATCAAGTAGAGGAATGAGATTTTGTTAATAAGTTTGACTGTCCTGCTTTTGCCAATAGGTTAAACTTAGAAACTTGATTTCTGTTTTAAGGGATACAACTAATGTAAAACTAAGATTAAAAAATAATTTTAAAATACAAATAAAGTTTATTAACTTGTGTGGAACAACACATCACGGAAGTAGTTTTCCAATTTGTATTTGGCCATGAATATTAGCAATTGACAAAGGATTGTACTGAAAAAAATAAAGTTGTTCTTCTTTCATAACTGATTTTCACCACGTATAATATGAAGCTTGGAGTTATGAGTCCATTGTATCTTCATGTACTTAGAAATATAATTAACCATCAAAATACGTTGACTATCGAAATAGGAGATACACTTCAGCAAAAAGACATTTCTCTTGTAAGTACACGTGAAAGAAAATTTATGGCTGATGTGTCAGGGGCTACTGTTAGTTATACGTGTTGCAAAGAAATGAGAACGAAATCGGGGCAATTCTTTTTTTTTCTTGGAATTCTATGATTTTCATCTGCAGAGTCTTCACTTTCCTGTCCGCATACCAATTTACTTGTGAGGAGTAGCACAAGTCGTCTGAGCATAGATAATCAGAACTAGTTGATTAGGTAGGTATCTTGTTCTTTCACAGTGGGTGGACACAATTTTTAGTTTATAACATTCTGATGGGACTATAGAAATGAAATTGTAATTTATAGCCTTTAATTTGGTAGGATTGTAACACTGCAAGAGAAATCAGTCTTAAAATAACATCAAAAAACCCATAAAACTAGTTAAAAGGCCTAAAACTAGTGACCATTAAAGAAGTGGTGAACAGTGCTGTTTTTCTAAGGGTTTGATTTTCATTATTGTACAATGTTGAAAAAAACTTAAGTTTTTAAATAAAAAAGGAGTGCCAGACAATTTAGTAGCCTATTTCATAATACAGCATGATGAGAACTTGGTAAAAGAAAGGAAATCTATTAACCTTGCTTTTACTGTGAAGGCCTTCGACTGGAGTACCGGAGTTGTATTCAATAGAAAAGGCTTGACCTTGGAATAGAAGTGCATATCCCGGAACCCTCCTTTTTAATTAAAAAAAAAAATGTGTTGAGAAGACAAGCAAAAATGCTTACTCCCCCAGCTAAAAGAAAAATTGAATGTCATTTATATTTTTGCTTGCATACCATCTGCACCCCTGGGTGCATTTCAACGTGTACACTGCAAATATTTGAAATACCGTCAAAATAAATTGATGTAGAATCTGTGGTAAGTTTTCTAAGCATCTCTTGCAGAAGGATATGTCAGCATTATGGGTTATTTTGTTTTGTTTTTTTAAGCCTCTAGTCTGGTGACTTGTTCTAATTCATAAACTGAGTAGCTCTTACTATACAGTAAGATGGTGCTTAAAAGTCTTAGTCGCGGACCCATTAGGCTGGTGCTGTACAGGTATGGGACAAAGAGATGTTTCCTACCTCTGCAGAGCTTGCTAGAGAAGACAACCAAAGAGCAGGAGTAGATGAGGAAGCTGAAGGAAGCGCTGACAGTGTTGGTTGGCGTTGTAGGCAAGAATGGTAGCACACCAGCAGTCTCTCGTTGCTTTGTCTTTTCTGGGGATATTGTGAAAAGGAGAGTTTTACTAGGATGGGGGAGAGAAGGGTAATGACAGGAAGCTCTCCCAGCTGCAAAGGCTGTAAGCACAAATGCAGTTATCTGAGAATCAAGGAAGATGCAGGAGATGGACATTATCACTGGATCAAAGGCAGGCGCTGGCCTGATAGCAAATAAAAGGTAATGGATAAGGTATGGCATGCCAAAGGGACAGGTCAGTTAGGACAGGAGCGTTGGCAGAGCGCTCTGATAGAGTATCTGTGGAGCAAGGTACACTTTGACAGAGGAAAAGGCATTGTAGTAATTGAGGCACAAAATGATCACTTGGATGGGAGTTTTTCTGGTGTGATTGGATTAGAAAGGTCGTCTGTATGGAAAAGCTGCAGAAGTAATCTGACAGAGGGGCATAGTCCAAATGTGAGAACCCCCAAATGGCCAAAGTCTATTGTGTCAAAACAGTCAAAATCTATCGCTGTCCAGGTTATGGAGAGGTAGACCTGCTGAGGCTGATGAGGACAGTGCCTGAGAAAGGCAGAGAGGTTGGGGGGAATCATATTAAGTGTCTAAAAGTTGTGATAGTGGACTCTAGGCAGAAATGAATATACAATTTTAATTACTTATGAATTTTTTACCTGCCTTGCTCATGTTAACATCAACAAGAGTTCCTTTTTAATAGATATTACTGCATGTGGCTGGATGTCTTTTTCCACTCTTTCTCTCCTCAAAACGTTATTCAGCCAGGAGTGGAAGGCCCTTGTGGACAGCAATAGATTATAACCATTTTGATAGAACCCTTTTGCGAAAGTCTCTGTTGTTATTATACTGGCTTAAAAGTCGCTTTTCTTTTCCAAAAGCACTCCTTTTTAAAATGTCACAGAATTACAGGATTGAGACGGGAAGAGTTTATGAAACAGTTCAGTGCAAATTCACTTTAAAAAATTACATATTACTCTTTGATTAAAACATGCTTGTATCCCTGGGTTGTCTTGCAGAAGGACCCTCCAGCCACAAGCTGTGGAAGTATTAGCTATCACAGTCATTACCAGCATCTTCTATTAAGACTGACCAACTCCTCACATGTCAGCTAAACACATCCAGCTTTAGGCCTGTCTGTCATTTATTGCTGACTTTCAGAGTTAAATTAAGAACTGCTGTTCATCCTTTGGCTGTGTATATGTCCTTGAAATTCCCTGAAGCTCGAAATAAGGTAGATAGCAGAAAATGCTTGTAGCAGCAAAGCAACACTTTTCTGTCAAGTTTTTTTCACGGGTAGAAAAAACTAGTGCAGTGTCACATGAAATGTATTTGTAAACTTGGTTGAAAGGTAAGAGGCAGTAATTAAAACCTTTCTGAATGAAAGAAGGTTTCTGGATATCGGTAGCAGACTTCTTAACTTACTGCTACTTGTTCTTATCTCTATACATCTTATCCAGCTTTTGGAAATCAGATATCTGGTTGTCATTTATTGCATTTCTATAACTAGATATTCGTGCAGCTCTTGCCACAAAAGTGGATGCTTTTGCTTTGTTCTTTTTCCCCCTTAAATAATTTATATGCAAGGTTCAGCAAATGGAACCTTGCTACTTGTGTGAAGCTGCCATTTAACCATGAAGTGAAATGCTTTTATTGAGTTTGCCCTGCAGATATGGTCCGCTGTGGCAGTGCTGTCCATATTTGGTGGCTGTGCAAGGAGAGCCAGGTGGTGCTGCAAAGCATAGCACAGTGAAGCGTGGACAGATCTAGGTTTGACATTTGTCATCCTGTACTGCTAAAGGGAAGAGAAAAATCTGCTTTTCCATATGCTTATGCTTTAATTTTTGCCTGCAGTTTTGTCCAGATGGCCTTGTGAACATTGTTTACTTTAAGATGCTGTCCCAGATGTTTTTGAATGCCGATGGATAAATGCAACAACTGTGGTATACTAATACACAAATTATTTACACAATTCTGGCTTTTTTCTTTTTTTTAACCATATCTTCTCCCCAGCATTTCTCTGTGTAGCACACTTCTCTGAGGGGAAGAAGACTCCGATAATTTTATTAACTTTCTGAGACTGAACAGCACCTTCAAGTAGCAGATATTTGGAACTCATTCTTATGCTGAGGTTCTTCGGGAGTTCTAGGTGGACGGGACAGTTTCAGACACTGTAGCGTGCACCTTGTGAGCATGCCAATAACACAGAGCCTATAGAACAGGGAGCCTCTTTGGGGTGCGAACAGCTCCCAAGCTGCCCGTCATCTGTTGTGTTCAAAAATGCTTTCTCTGCTTTTTCAAAGAGAATTTGATCTCTTGTACTGTCTTCCTTTTCCGCACCAGTGGAATGGAGGATATTTTAAAGCTGTGTAAGCGCTATTACCAAGAACATTTTAAAATATTTTTTAAACAGCAAAGCAACGTTAACTGCATTTTGACAAACTCAGATATACGTTGAAAAACAATATATGCCTTAACATTGTTGTAGGGTGCAGACAAACCGCATCGAAGCTGCAATGGGTATTTGTAATGGCTTATTTTTATTTGATTATATTTTTCCGTCTTCTAAGCAAGAAACTATCTGGGAGGGTACATAAAAGACCCTTTTGGCATGAGCATTTCATTAACGTAAATAGGTCTGTTAGTTATTTCTCAAGAACACTGTAATGAGACTTCACTGTGAAACTCATTAGAACAAATATATGAATTCATATGTCAAGACATAGATTGCAGCATCACATTCTTGGCATCTATTAAGTCCATAACTCGTTTACATTGACATGCATTGTTAATCAATATTTAAGACACTGCAGATGTCAGCAATGTTCATATTTAGTCCTGCAACCATGACAATATGAAAGTTGCTAGTAGAATTTCAGACTAAATATTGTTATCTCAAATCTTTCCGTTACCTCTAGGCTACAAGTTAATGACTGTCTAACTTTGCTGCCTCTCATCTATTTAAATAATAAGGCAAATAGGAAAATGCATGGATGCTGTACTGGTAGCATATTCCACTGCAATTTTATCAAATTTTTGTTGTTTAAAATTAAACCACCTAATTCTGCAATTTGTATTTGGGTTGTTTTAGCAGTTCCTCAGGCAGTGACAAAGGGATGTGGGTAGGGGAAAAAATGTAGCATTTGGGAAAACTGATGACAACTCCGATTCAGCTGTTGAGTAAGTTGTACAAGCCATTTTAAACAAAGCACAGTAATTGATAAAGAACTTCAGTATTCAGGTGGTAACTTTTGGTTACCTGTCTTTAAATGCACCAAAAAGCAGAGTGATAGCTATTGTGTGGTGTTTCTGCTGAAACACCAGATGAACGTACATCTGAAGTGCCTCTTGTTAATGAACTAATGAAGCCCATTGTATTTATTTGTCTTTTGGAATAATTGAAGAAGTTAGAGCCTTATGGGTTAATCTAATTGTTGTGGAATGTGTCTGTTGGATATATGTTGGAGGGAGATTTTTTTCCAGGGGTTTAGCTGCTGATGTCTGTTGTTTTCTAAAGACTATGAAAAGCAACTTAGAGTAGCATCAAGGTATCTTTCAGTATATGTTAGAAGGTAAACCTAATCTCTGGAAGAATGGATTGTTTAGACTACACAATTATATAGTAATGCTAATCCATAGTTTAATTATAGGTTCATCAAAAATTATCCGACTCCGTGAAGAAAATACCGAAACAAGTGAAATACTGAAAGGAAAAGGTTCTGGTAATGGTGCATCAGTTCCAGTTAAAGGAATAAATAATTTAGGGAATACGTGCTTCTTTAATGCTGTCATGCAGGTAAGATAGAAAGATAGCATACAGCTTTCTCTTCATAGATTTCAAATATACTTAATCTATATAGACTGGGGGTTTCGTAAAAGGTTTTGCATGTTGTCGGTTTTCATGCTACTTTCTAAAGGTCTTTTTCAAATCCTTTTCACTGCTTCCTATCTAAGCAGTATTTTCTGATATAACAAAAAAGAATTCCCGGATCAGTAGCATTTTTCAAAGTAATGAGACAAATGAAAATGTCAAGTGTGTTACACATTGCATGTGTGTGGGTTGTATTCCAGCACATGGTTTTATCTGTAGTTCTGCATTAGGCAGTCATGAGTAATACACTGCATTTACCATACTGGTGGGTGTCAAAGTGGTACTTTATGCATAATTTAAATTATCAGGCACCAATGTCTGCACAGTGAGTTGTGTTGGTTTAAGTCCCTACAGTGGATGCAAGTATAAGTACTTTTATTGATAGTGGTTTTTTATCTGACCAGAAGGAGCTGTACTGATATGCTTTTATTGGTGTTGAGGCTATAACTAATACAACATATTAAAGCCAACAGCAGCCTAGTGGAAATGAGTCTTATATTGGAACATCCTATTGCTTCTTAGTTGAGCGGAGACATCTGTATGTCTGCAGGCAGAAGTGAGCAGATGAGATAAAATTACTGCAAAGGTGTTGCGAACGGGCATACTTTACTTTGCATATATGATGATGGTGACTACAAAACTCAGCCAAAAATTAGTAAATTTTAAGGAGTAAAATTACTGCAAATTGTTATCTGTCCATACGCAGGGCGTTGTAGAGACCTAAGTGATTTGGAATCAAAGCTTACCAAAACTGAAGAAAAAAAACTGAGATAGCTTGAGTGGTTTCTCATAAATTCAGATGTGCAATGCTTGTCTGTATTCCAAAACCTTTAGTCTCCCTGGGACACTGTGAGTGAGGCTGCAGAGTTTAAAAGAAACAAATGCTTTCTCATATTAATCTCCTCACTGTTAGAAGAAGAAAAAAAAAGAAACTTAAAAACTAATGAATGTTGTTGTTCAGCAAAAATAACAAAGTACTTACTAAGAACTTTTTGGAATTATAGAAGCAGAAATAGGTACAGTTTTGGAAGCATTCTGAGATCAGTGGTACCTCCTATGAGAGTGAGACCTGCTTTTTCTAGTGATCTGATTTAAACTTCAGTAGTACGTTTGTTAAATATAAATCTTTTTTATCTATTCCTGAAGTTAGAGTTTATAACTGAAGAAAACAGCATAATTGAAAGATCAATGTTTCTTGTTTGTTTTTTCTTTAAGAACTTGGCACAGACTCACATACTAAATGAACTGATGTATGAGATGAAGGAAAAAGGAACAAAGCTAAAAATCTGTCATACTTCAGACTCCCAATTGGTAAGTACGCACGGAGAAACACAAATTTGGGGAATGTGAGATGAAGCTGGAAGCAGAAAATAACATTTCTTTGAAAGGCATGCTCCTGTTCTCCATTTTCTTTTTGCCTTTCAGTTTTTTAGCCAGTTTATGATATCTATGAACTCGCTTCTTTTACGAAACTAATTATTCAGCCCTGAAAAAGGAACGATCTCCTCCTTTGGCATTTTGTGATACTAGAGCAGCAAATAACACCTGGTCTTAACAGTGGCTGACTTGTATTTGTTTGCCATTTCTTTTCTTTAAGGTGCATAATACAGGAAATAGTATATTTGGCTGTTTAAAGTGTTCCTGACATATTTTATTCCAGTCTGTCCCAGTCCTTCTTTGGCAAGGCTTGTAAAATTTATTAATGTCATTCATAGCCAGAGGAATAAATGTAGAGAAGCAAAATTCCAGTGAAGACCACATTTCTTGTCCTCAAGCTCATTGGAGGCACATGGGAAAGAGGATCCTGTGGTTACTACCAAAAGAATATGCTGCTGTTCCTGGTCGTTTCTTAGACTTGGGTTTTCATATATATTGTTGGCCAATGTGAAAAAGTAATACCCCTTTCCCTCTGCCAGCTAACCAAAGCAGTTTACAGAGGTTTTCTTACTCCTCCCTTTTTTTTTTTTTCTCCCCACTGTTTGCCTGGAGGTTTGTGGTGGTGGTAAGGGTTGATGGAGTGGGAGTCTGTTTTGGATACCTCTGAAATTACACAGAGTTCTGTTGGTTGCCGCTGGTGATGTTTGTAGCCTCCCCAGGCAAGAAGGGTGTGAAATTCACTGGATTGTTATCTATATTACCTCTAATAGCAGCTCTGAACAGCAGCATTTCAGTAAGTTATTCCTGAGTCGCAACTGAGATCTGGAGCTTATGCCTGGAGGCTTGGAAAGACAGTGGTATGTTGGTTCACGCTTGATGTGAACCTTGCACAGCCATAAGGTTGAAAGATTTCTTTTTTTTGTTTTGTTTTGTTTAATATGAGTGCTTACAATGTAAATGAGATCTTCGGAGCTAAGACTGTATTTTCTGTTCTTTGTGTGTTAGCACAGGCTTAGAGGACTACAACAGTCTAACTAGTAGTAATGTAGAAAAGGCTAGCTTCCTGCTTGGTAAAGGGTATTTTTCAAGTTTTGCTAGTGTTGTATTTGTGAGTATCCATAGAGCTTATCTTTTTGGTGGGGGTTGTTGTTGTTTTTAAAGAGTCATCCTAATCATTCATCCGGAAGTTGTAATCTGCTCTGGTGAGAATCAGACTAGCTGTCAAGAAGCACTGTGGTCATGCATGAACCTAGGAGCACGTAAGGGAGAGCTGGCTACACTGCAGCTTTGGAGGCACAAGTGGTACCAAAGATGTTTAAGAGCGTCTCCTGCTGTAAGACTGTGTCAAATGGCGGCAGGCTGGGTCCTTCCAGCCTTGGGACCTGCTAGATCTTTTCCATCTCTAGGCAGGAGGGGCTGCGGAAGCCAACGGCAGCCAGAGATCTGCTGCAGCCCAGTGCCCCCGCCTCCCTGTGTCCTGTAAGGAAATGGCAGGGCTGTAGGCACCTGCTGCTGGCCCCTGCTTGTGAACTACTGCTGGGGCCCTCCCTGCTCTTCTGCTTGACATTTATGTTTTAAATAACATCTTGAATAAATAAGCTTTCAGTGTGTGTGTTGCTAGTTAGTTGCAGAGAAAAACTGCAAAGTTCCATAGCCTAACCATAGAAGAAGTCCCTGTTAATTTTTAGAGGAAATTTATAATAAATTATACTGCTACCAGATGATTTTATATCTGCGCTCTAGTGTGTTTAGAGGACAGGGACATAATTTTAAACTCCTGCAATCTTAATTGCTTGGCCTTGATAGTTTTATATAGCAGACAGAGGTAAGGCAAACTCAAAATTAGAAAACCCACGTCTAGCAAAACTATGTGAATGTTATGGGCAAAAACAGATCGAGAGCTGTGCTTTCTTTTTTATTTTCTCTGACTGTCTTGTCGTGTGGTTTCCAAACTTAGCTTTGAACTTGAGAAGCTTAGTCTCTTGATGAAAGGAGTAAGCAATTTGTTTGGCTGTTGGGCAGGCAGCTCCTGATGTCCTGGAGTACCTGACAGCACCATTTCAACATTATAAATCCAACTTGTAAATGTGATTTTCACAGAGCAAGAGAGAATATTTGAGTATTGTGAATGTTAGTCAGGAATATACTGAGAACTATATTTAAAAACTCATCCCTATTTGTTACCTTAAGTGTTATTAAATTTTACTTTATTCCATTAATCATTGAAATGCCTGTTTCCAGAATTGCTGGTTACCAACCAATTTGCTCATCAAGAATTGTTTAGTTTTGTAGCTATTACTTTTTGAGTAATAAGCTTTCTCCTTGACTGTTTCAATCATATAAGTGACAAAAAGATTAAAAAAAAAACCCGCTAAGACTAAAAGCTACATTTTTCTTGGGTATAAGTGTACTACCTTGAAACAAGTCTTGTGTGTCATTCGTTATGGAATCTGATGTTCAGTTTACTTTTCCTTTGAAGGACCCTTTGGTGGTAAACCTCTCCAGCCCAGGACCCTTGACTTCAGCCATGTTCTTGTTCCTTCACAGCATGAAGGAGGCTGGAAAAGGCCCTCTTTCTCCCAAAGTACTGTTCAGCCAGCTTTGTCAAAAGTAAGTGTTGTCAGTATCTTTTTTTTAATTTCCAACAGTGTGTTTCTACGTGCACCATGTCTGTTGTCCTTTCCGAGGAGTCACTAGACTTCATTGGGCTGTCCAGAAAGTGTCTTCCTCATATTTTAAAGTTGCATGGCTCCTTGTTGCAGTGCAGGGTTATCCCTGTTCTGCCTGAGGTGTACGGCCCTGACCCCAACCACTGACTTGCCGTAGGCTTAGAAGTGGGAGTAAGGGGATGGAAAAGGAACTGCAGAGAACAGAATTGCCGTTCAGGTTTTGTTGAAAGGTGTATATGAGGACAAAGCTGTGCTGATACTGCAAAATGTGTGTAGGTGTTTAGGAAAAAAAAAAAAAAAGGTAAGCTTTTAAATGTGAAACCTCTGCTATGATGTCTATCCTTGGCATTAATCCAGTATTAGAAAGGGTCTAACAAGTAAGGACTTGAAGGACTATTGAAATGACCTATGGCCCCGGATTGCAAATTGCTCACAAGCCCTAAAGAAGCCTCTGTTTCTTTGGGTGGAAAATGTTTACAGTGGCCTTTGTAGGTATCTTCCATTATGATGCAAACGGTCTTGCTTTTTAAAACACCTGTAGAAAGCCTATTTAAAAGTTGATGTAAATATTTAAATACTGACATTACAGGTAAAAGTAGCTGTAGAAGCAGAGTAACTGGAGTATGATATAGCTGAATCTTGCATTTTAAAAAATTGGGACGTTAATAATGTATGTTAATGTATTTGCTACAGTATTTTTTTATGGAATTTTAAGTGCTCCGCAGCAAGAGAATTAGGAGGAAGGGGGCTGCTTACTACTACCTCGAGGTAACCTCACTGTGCGAGCATTGGTTTAAAATATCTTATAAAGAAACAGAAGCTTTTAGGCTAGAGCAGGGACAATTTAATTTGGATACAGAAATCTGTTATTACTTTCTGTTTGTCCTCAAAGTTCATCCTCAGAAACTTATTGTTATGTTTTTGTTATTGTACTTCCTTTGGGTTCTTTTGAGCTGTAAAAGGAAACGTATATAAAATGTCCTCATAGTGACTTTGAATCAAATAGCAGTTTTCTCTGTTTAGCGTGATCTACCTGAAGAAAAAATATATAGGAATATATATTCCCACCCCTCCTCCCATTCAAGAGGACAACTTAAGTAATTATAAGAAAGTTTTGGTAGAGGGATGAAAGGGAAATGATTAAATAGGACTAGCAGCTGTTGCTCTAAGTATTAACGGTAGAAGGGAAAAGATAACATTAAACATGTTCCTCCCCCCTCCCAGCAAAATCAGTGTAAAATAATCCGTATGTGAGGCATTTTAGATAGCATTGCATTTTTTTTAAATCACAGCTGCTTTGTATCTTGTATATATCTGTATGTGTGTAATCATCAGGTGATGCAACAATATTTAATCTCAGGCATCTAGATTTTCTTCTTTGTTATTATTTGATCTTTAAAATGGGTCTACACTTTAAATAGCTGTGTAAAAGAGCAACATTTTTGCACGGGCAGCGGTCTTTTGTCGCTTAAGCACGTCTCTGCCAGCTTCTGCAAACTCTTACTTTCATGCCTTCTTTTACTTTTGTAGCCTTGCAGAACACACAGCTCAGAGATTTGAATCCTCTTCTGACTCATGTATCAATAATGAAGCTGTCAGCTGTATCCTGTTAGCATGAAATTAAGTATTCAGGGACAGGGAGTGGTTGCGCAGGTATGACGGAAGGTGTTGGTGTTATTGGAGATGACACATGAGCCAGAAAGAAGAAAGGCAGAATTTCAGAAAATTCAGCAGAATCTGCAGTGCTGGAAATGGGGGGAGAGGGAATCTTTATCTTTTCCAACTGAATACATTTGTTACATATTAATTTAAACAAAATGAATGCAGTATTCTGTCATGCCGCTTTTAAGGAGCCTTTTTTCATCTTTTGATGCTAGCTTTGTATTCCATAGCAAAGCCGAAACGAAAGGGAAAGCATAACAAGATTGTGAGAGTCGCAGCTAGGAAGCATGTGTTGCTGCAGCATTCTCCATAAGCTGCTTCTGAATCCTACCAAGAAGAAGTTATATTAACCGAGTAGTCTTAAAGGCACTAATTACAGTTATGTGGTCTTCACATGCATTAGCACAAACTCATTTCCTTAACCAGCAAATGTGTGAGAAGCAACACTAAAACTGCCTGTTTTCAGATGTTGTCCTCCTATGTGGGTTCTCCGCTGTTCAGTATGGCTCAACTCTTCCACAGGAAAAGAGGAAGTAGGATGGTGTTTATAGTCTTTTTCTTGTTTCTATCTAGCCACATGTTTTAACAAACTTTAATGAAATATTTCTAATTTTCAGCAAATTTGTTTGAATATGGCCATTATGATCAACAGTTATGCCATTATGATCAACAGTTATGAGGATCAGATGAGTGTGCACATGCATATGCATTTCCTCATGTGCATACACCCACAATAGCGCTATCATTTAAACGTCGTTTCCTCAGCAGACTATCTTTAATTATCAGACCAACCCACTTAAGTCTGTGACTGTAGTTCTGTATCTGATTTTTTTTTTTTTTTTTTTTAGTGCTTCATTTCTGTGCTGCATGATTATTCCCTCCCTGTTAGCTCTGGTGATACAGAACTAGTAAACCATATCCCCAATGATCTGAGTTAAACCCCCTTCCCAGGGTAGAGGGCCCAACTGTCTTTCTAAACCTGTGTCATTTCAGTGATCTGATTTAGCACAAAAATAAACAGAAGCAGTTGATCAGTGCACTTCAGTGTAAGGGCAAAAATAATGAGGTGAGGAAAGGGCTTCTTTATTATCTTGGATAGCAGTGTTAATATGTTGAAGGAATTGCATCCCTCTTGCAGCTCTGTGTCTCTGCAGGTCTCAGTCCTTAAGTAACCTAACTCTACCTGCTACAGTGAGAAATAACAATGAAAGTAAGATGAAAACTTTGGAAATAGGCATGGAATTTTGAGCAAAATCACAAATAGAAGGATTGCATCAACTATAGTAATACCACAACATTAATTAGAGGACTTGCAACTATTCAGGAGGCGATTAGGCAGTTCTATAGCACAAGGAAAGCTAAAAAGGTGGGTGTGGGCAGTATTCTTGCTGTCTTATCTGAGGTCCGGAAGTTGCAAGACTGATTTCCCAAGGCTTCCCCTGTGGTGAGGGAGACGGGTGCCCTGCAGTCTCAGCCTGCTAAGGTCTGAGCAGCTATCTCTAGAGGCGTTCTACATCCCTTTAGGTTAGCTATATGGGGGACTCCAGACAGACTGTCTCCTGAAGTCAGGTATACAAACTAGGTGCCTAAAGTTAAGTGACACAGTTCACCCTGTGTGTTTTGTAAACCGGTGCAGTTATTTCTGTCTCCATTTCCTCTTTTGGTTCTGAATTAAGATTAATGCCCCTTACGCCCCAAGTAAAGGAACAAAGAGGAAGAATTCAGGATGGTCTTCTGGACCCCAAAAGCAGACCAGGTTTTCTTCAGACCCTTCATCTGAAAAAATAAACCCCTGCTCTTGTAATGAATTTCCAAGTGTAGAAAATGGTTAACAAGCCTTGGGTAATGTACTCTGATGTGCAGTTGTCCAAGGCAGATGAATGTTTTTGTAATACTGCATAAGTGTGTATGGTGTGGTAGTCTCTGTAATTTGAAGGAGAAGATCAGTAAGAAGGATAAAGCGCACGTAAACATTGCTGCATCATGTTGTGATCAGCAGTCTGTCTCACCCAGTATTCTCCTTTAATTGTTTTTGGAAGCTGCTTGGGAGAAAAAAAAAAGAGTGGAAATAAAACCTAGCCCCTATCAACCTAAGAAATTTATTCCAAACTTCCTTGCTTTTCAGGGTATCAAAATTACTCTAGTCTTAGACTAGGCTGGCCTCAGAGTAGTGTTTTATTATGTTTTGAATGCCTGTGACTTAAATTCAGCTCATTTTTAAAATGCGTGCTTTTAAATATCCACTGGAGTTTGGGGGTATTTTAAATACGGAACTATTTTGCTGCTTTTGTAAACGCGTAAACATGTTTTCAGGGGAGCCAGAGAAGGCTATGTTTTTGAAAAGATTGCCTTTCATATACCTGCTTCACGTTCCTTTCAGCAGAAGTTGCTAGGCAGGATCCTTGGAAGTTCTTAATAGATCTTGATTGTTGTTTAAACACAACCCCCCTTGTACTACAAAACTGAGGGCTCAGGGAATGTTTACAGGGTTCAAACCCAATTCTAGACCAATTTTCATCCCTTTCTGTTCAGTTAAGATCTGTGAAGAGCTAGCAAGGGGCGTAGAAAAGAGAATCCACCTATTCCTGAAGGACGGAATTAAATGTATTGTAGCTATAGCAGTAATGCTGTTACAGACGTGATACTTGAAAGACATGAGCTAGGCAATAAACCCTGTTAAATATACATATTTTTGTTCTTTAGTATACTTTAAAATTTACTGAAAATGTTAGTAAAATTGGTTTAAGGAGGCAAAAAAGAACGTATTCGATTTTGTTGCTGAAGGTACTACCTGGTTCTAATGGCAAAGATTTGGTGGGGAGGGTTAAGTCCACTTTAAAACACAGTATGTCTGTTTTGATTTGTCAAAGCTCATCACTAATCTATTATTGCATCCAGGTTAACTTATGTGATGAGGGAATACTGGGATGTAAATTGGAGTCAAGATGCCAGTTTTTTCATGTTTGCAGGTTCACGGACGTTCATTGTTTTGAAGCTAGTGCTAACTGACACAGAGAAGTCTTACAGTATAGACAGCAGAAGTATTTAAAGCTCTTAATGAAACTGCTATAAACATGTGTTCTAAATTCTTAATTTCTAGTCAGTACTGGATGAAATAATTCAAAGACTTCAGTAACAAAAGTGATACTTTTACTTGAGTGTACCTTCTCTCTAAAAAATGTCATTCTGCTGCAGATTTAGACAAACATAATATATAATTTCAGTTGAAACTGAAAGATGAAATACTCTGATCAGCAAAATTGACACAAAACGTTTTCT